TGTGTGTGTGTGTGTGTGTGTGTGTGTGTGTGTGTGTGTTGGGTGTGAAGGAGTGTATGTAGGGGCTGCCTGGCGGGAGAGACCGCGGTGGCCAGCACAGACTAGTGACCCAGCCGGATTAGGGATCCATTTCCTGGAGACTTGCCTCCCAGGGCTAAACAGTGCCTTTCCAGGTCTCTGCCACACTGCACCTCCTCCTCAGGGCCCCGTCTACCCACTAGCTCAGGTCTTAGAGTCACACCTTGAGTGCCCTGAATAGGACTAGGTGGGAGACCCACTCTTAAAGTGCCAGCGACACCCTTGGAATCCTGGCCCATGAACCTCTACTTGGAGAGGGAATGCATTGGGTGTGTCTGTACCCACTGTCCCTTGTATTTGCACATGCATGCTTTTCTAGTTGTATGGACTGGGTGCATGTATGTGCCTGTGCTTCTCTCTTGCTGTATTCTGCATGTGAGTACCTGGGTCTGTTTTATCTGTGACGAGCCGATCTTTTTATGTGTGTTTGTGTATGTGTTTTTCTAAGTTCCAGTCTATCTGTTTTTATGAACACATAACTGTTTGTATTTTGGTGGCATTTTGCAGCCGACTAGATGAGGAGGGAAACATTCTCTGGAGGTCCCCTCTCTCTGAGAAAAATGGAGTGGAGAGGCGGTGTGGGCTTTGTAGGTTTCAGATGCGGGGACTGAAGTGTAGGTAGATTGGGTTCGGACTGGCAGACTGGGATAGAGAGAAACTGCGAATCTTACCAGCAGGGAGGGATGTTCTGGGAGAAGCCTAAGTGTAAGAATTCTTGCTAAGTTCCAGTCCTTTCCTAGAACTTCACCTCCTTCTGCTGTTCCTCTTGCCAGGATGGAGTGCACAGGATTTGGGTGTCGAGGGAGGGAGCTGTGAGTTTAAACGGAAGGAGGGTGGATGGGTGGTAAGATTGGAAGCCAACAGCAGATTTCTGCAATTCTTAAAATGTTTTCCTGCCAAAGGCAGCAGAGCCTGGGGAAGACTAGACTTGCTTCCCCTTCATTGAATCCCTTTCCCAGGACCGCTGGAAGACTGGCTTTAGGATCAGGAACCCTGAAGTTTGATCCAGAACTCTCCTCTTGACTTTGGTCAAAACCTTTATGTACTTATCTGTTCCGCTTACCACATTGCTATTGAGTGTCTCTTGCATTAAAAAAAAAAAAAAAAAGGTCTAAACTCCTTAAGCCTTAGTCTGCTGGGTAAGTAGAGAGTGAGTTAGACTAGGGGATATGGAGGCTCTTTCCCCTAAGAGTGCTAGAATGTGCCTCATTGTCACCCAACTTTAGAAAGACACCCTTCTAGCTTGGCTACAGCCACCTTCCCCCATCTCACACATATTCTGGTCTAGAGCAGTGGCTCTCAAAGTGTGGTTGCCTTACCAGCATGTGTAAGGCAGTAGCAGCAGTTGGGACATCTGGGACTTGGAAGTGCAAATTCTTGGACCTCACTCCAGATCTACTGAAACTAACTCAGGCTGGAGATGTATTTTAGCAAACAAGTGATTAAAAAAAAAATCATTTATTGGGACCTCGTACAACTCTTATCACAATCATCCATCCATTGTGTCAAGTACATTTGTACATTTGTTGCCATCATCATTTCAAAACATTTTCTTTCTACTTGAGCCCTTGGTATCAGCTTATTTTTTTCCTCTTCCTTCCCCACCCTCCCTCCTCATGAACCCTTGATCGTTTATAAATTTTTTTTTCATGTCTTACACTGAACAATGTCTCCCTTCATCCACTTTTCTGTTGTCCATCCCCCCAGGGAAGAGGTTATATGTAAATCATTGTGATTGGTTCCCCCCTTCTCCCCCACCTTCCCCTTCCCCTCCTGGTATCTCTACTTTCATTATTGGTCCTGAGGGGGTTATCTGTCAAACAAGTGATTTTGATGCATGCTAGAGCTCAAGAGAGATGAAGGCATGGAGTGGGGAAGCTCCTGTCAAGTGATCCTAGAACACTCGAGGAATCTTCCCTGAACCCCTTACACATACATTACTGATATAACTCTGGAAGCCCTAACCTGGGAGGTAGGGGTTCTGGCTTCAACTCTCAGGTCTCCCTTGCTCTCTTCACTCTGTTCTTGATGAATGCAATGACATTTTGACTTGCACCTGTTCTGGGTCAGGTTCTCTGAACTTACCTTAACTTTCAAAAGCCCCCCCAGCATCTAGTCCTTCATAACCTCTCTGGAAGCCAACTATTTCAGTCTTTAGTTTCACCCAAGGTACAGGAGCTCTTTTGCCTCCAAGATTTTGCACATGTTGCTCCCTCTGTGTAACACTCTCTTCCTTTCTTTTGTATCTTGGCTAATGCCCCCCTTTTTCTTTGAGATTTCAGTTTAAGAATCACATTTTCAGGGGGTCCTTTACCAAATCCCCAAGCTAAGTTAATTTTTTATTTTATATACTCTTAGTAAGCCAACTGGAGAAAGAAAAAACATTCTACTCCTGTACAGACTCACCAGCTCAGAAACCCACAGGGGCATGTTTCCCTTGCTCTATAGCAGTGGTTCTCAACCTCCCTAATGCCGTGACCCTTGAATACAGTTTCTCATGTTGTGGTGACTTCCAACCATAAAATCCATAAAATTGTTTTCGTTGCTACTTCATAACTATGATTTTGTTACTTTTATGAATCAGATGACCCCTGTGAAAGGGTCATTCGACCCCCAAAGGGGTTGAGACCCACAGGTTGAGAACAGCTGCTCTATAGGGTCACTAAGAGTTGACATCAACTCTTAATTTTTTTTTTGTAGCTAGCTATTGCTCTCTATATTTCACAGACCTTATGAGAATTTGAGGAGCAACTGGTTGTAAGGCGCCCTGGTGGTGTAGTGGTTACAAGTTGGGCTGCTAACCACAAGGTCAGCAGTTTGAAACCACTAGCTGTTCCTCTGGAGAAAGATGGGGTTTTCTACTCCTGTAGACTTACAGTCTTGGAAAATTACAGGAGCATTTGTATCCTGTTTTAAAGGATTGCTCTAAGCGGGCATTGACTCTATGGTAGTGAGTTGTGTTGTTGTTGTTTTTTTGCAGCATAGTGGGTTATGCATTGAGCTACTCACTACAAGATCAGCAGTTCTAATCCACTAACTGCTGCAAGGGAGAAAGATGAGGCTGTCTGCTCCTGGAAAGATTTTCAGTCTTGGAAACCCACAGGGGCAGTTTTATTCTGTTCCTAGGGTTGCCCCGAATCAATCAGAATTGGCTCGATGGAAGTGGGTTTGGTTTTTGTTTTTATGAGAATTTGTAATTATATATTAACCTGTTAGTTGTTTAATTGCCTGCCTCCTTCCCCTAGACTGTAAATGCCATCTGGCAAGGATCTTACTTATGAGTGTTTCTAGTGCCTCAAATAGTGCCTGCCTCATGACAAATTTGCTAAATGAGTGGATTTTTAAAATGAGAGTGATAATAAAATGATACTCCAAATGTCCCTTCAAGCCCTGGCA